ATTGTCTGAATTCCAATCTTGGAACCCCTAGTTTTATTTGCCAGTGTCTAGCCAAATTAGCAATCTGTTTTCCACGAAACGATAGAAAATCAGTAGATTCCGAGCACTGCAAAACGTGGACCTTCAAGGTCCGAAACCTATTTCGGTCCCTGATTTGCACCCCTCCTACGTGCACACGTGGAGAGAGTCTCTATACTATACATGATTACACTCTTCTAAAGTATAATCATATTTAAAGTGGTCATTAATCTATTTTCTTATGTGGGATAACTTTAAATTAGTTTCCCTCCAACAAAACATCTTCCAACACATCACTTTGAGTTCCAATTTTTTATTCACCCGAGCATCTTTTTGGCAAGTAAATATATGATTTCGATATTCTCACGGAGGGGCACAAATCAATCTTGATCTTCCAAAATAAACAATCGGGTCCCATTCAAAATTTATGCTAAAGTCAACCCTTCAATTTATTTATTTTTTCCCAACACCTTGGCCCATGTTTGACAACCATACTTTTTAAATTATTTTTCACACACTCATTTTTAACCATATATTCATACAATGAAATATTTCGTACGTAAACTCAAATTTTTTTCATACTTTTTATCTACACATTCTCCTAAAAGTCAGTATTCAAAACTCTTTTCCAAAAGTATGATTGTGAAACAGGGGTTTAGTTGACATTGAACTTTAAAAGTTGTCCTAGTTCCAACTTTAAGAGTCCGTTTGATAGGCAAAGTTGAAAAATGAATTACAATTTCACGTTAGTTGGAAAATAAAAACTCATCAAACCCATATAAATTCGTTTTCCTTGAAAATAAAGAACATGCAGCTTAAAGTGGTTGTACCTTGAAATTCGATTTTCATTTTCACGTTGCAATCAAACGGCTAAGGTAAAATTCGTTTTCTTCGGATGTGACATTTTCCAAGAAATTTGTTGCTATCAAACATGACATACTAGCTTCTCAAGTTGCCACTAGTTTGTCAAAATGTTTATCTCATCTGCTAATTCGGTGCTCATCGTTTCAAAACTTGACATTTTTCGGATGGATTTTTCACAATTGGCGTGCTATCAACCTTACAGTATCCACATCACCAAAATTGAGAATGACATCTCTCAAAATGTGAGTGACGATGGATGGGATGATATTTTGATAAGTTCAATGAAAAATCGATTTTTTTTTAAAAAAGAGCTATAATGTCTAACGGCTCCATTTCGATAATCCCAACAAAAATTGGTCCAATCTATGTCCATTTTTAGCCTTCAAATGGACCTTATGCTTTATGCCTGCATTTTTTGGTCGCGTCAATAAGATATGTCGCGTTTTATTTAAACAAAATGTTTTTGAAATATTTGATAACCCGTAAAACAGTAAACCTGACAACACACTGAAGAATTTTTATACCATAACAAGTTTACAACATCTTTGTTCATCGAGAACGCGAGAGAGAGAGAGGGTATAAGATCTTTGTAATATTGGTACGTGCTGCTAACAGTTGACGAATGGGAGCCTGGAGCACCCAATCCCTATTTTGCAGCAAAGCAAAATTGATTATTTAATACTCATCCATAAAGGCCGTGTCGACTTAATTTCCTTATGTTTATTCGTACAAAACCAGAAACGTCTCGCTGCTTCAAAACAACTGCTGTGATTACAAAAAAAAACCAACTGTTTTATATGTCCTCTGGGCCATTGATCTCCTGGTCACCAGTAAAAGAGAATTAACCAAGAATTAGTTAATTGTTAAATTTAATTTAATTCTGAAATAGAGTGCTTAATTGTTATTTGTTAACTAT